GGTGAGTCTGGGAGCTTAAGGGCCATAACACACCAAACAGACATAGAAGAACTAGTGGCAACGAAAGCTATGTTGTCGCCTCGTGTTGCTTGAGTTTTTAGCCAAAAAGTTGTGCTTGAACACACCAAAGACTACAGCCAATGGCCAGTTAGCACGAATGTTCTGCGACTGTGTGAGAGGAGATAACTGTCTGTATCAGTAGGTGGCAAGTCCTCATCCCTTCAAAAAGGGAAAGCGAAAACTGGACTTCAAATATACAAAGCAGCGCTTGCTTACCATTTTGAATATGAATCATGCTGATCAGTTGATCTTCACTTTGGTTGGTCTTCACAAAATGTACAATTTGAAGAACCTTTGTGTGCCGTCTTGACTTTGAGGTTTGCTTGCTTACGTTACTTTCATTTTTCTTCTTGAGCACTGTTTCGCTAAAGCCATCCATACACTATACAGTTTTCAAAGTTGTTGACTGTGGTACAGGAAGTAAGTGGTACAGGAAATAATGTGGTCTGCAGACAGGCCCAGGTATGCAGACTGCTAAATATGTCTAGCCTCAGTGCTTCTGTCAAATTGTACATTTAATAAGTCACACTTTGTGATCATCACTCACATGAACAAGTACCAATTTGCCTCAGATTTCAGGCTTTTGTCTTCAATCTCAAGAAAACTTTCAGTGAGTGAAAATTGGGCCTAAAATCGTCTAGTGTATACCCAACATGAGCTGAACGGCCAATCAGAGTGATTTTTCTAACCAAGTGCCCAATGATTCAACAATTCAACATGCTCAGTTGGTCAACAATCCTCCAGCAGACTTGTGTTGACTATTGGTTAAGTCAATGTTATATTAATTAACTGAACCAGTCAGGTCACTCAAACCAATGAGGGCAAATGGTGTGCATTCAAGTCTTCCTGGGAAGTTTGTATTTTGGAGTTGGGAAATCATAATTATGATGTCAGGTGCATTTGGCCGGAGCAAGATGGCAATGTACCTTTTTTTAAGTTTACTACATGAAATGAGGTGTTTTGCTTTGGTTTTTATTCAATTTATGAAGGTGTATAATTGTACGATTTTTGTAATTGGACAATACATGTGCTATGCAAAGGCCCTAATGCTTTAAGGGGCCTTGTGACCAAACCTGGAAAACGTTTGTGAACAGACAGAGGATTGTGAATTCACCAAGTGGACGCCACCTGTGAAAAAAAATCACAAATGCACTGAGGAGGACCTGCATCCTCTAACTTGCACTGGGCCTCGGCCCATGTTTGTGACAGCGCTGATAATACTATTATATTCTGTACATGCAAGCAGTCAAGCTAGTTTGATGGTAAATGAAATATAATACTTTCAGACATTTCAAAAATGTATCATCAATATAAATGCAGCATGTTTCCTCACTGACACATCCACAACGCAGAAACTTAGGCCTCAAAGAATTTCCTGCTCTTAATTACAACTTTGAGGTGGCGTTCATGTGCATTTCAATTGTAAATGCAATCTTTCCAATACGGCTTGAACTATAATACCTGGAGAGGGTTATCTTTTAGCATTCCTGTTCATGCCAAGTGCCCAGGAGATCCATGCAGCCTAGGAAGTACGAGTTAAGTCTTTCTGCACTTATACTGTACGCAGAAAAATTATTTTGTGACTTTGTGATACATTATTTGAACCAGTCATGTTATGTTTAGCCAGTCAAGCCTTTCAGATGAACAGACTGCAATTCTGTTTGATGCAGAACAAATAAACTACACTCCACCGATGACAGACTTTGTTGTATTTCTTGTGCTGCCTCTACTTAGTAAAATATGCTGTGCTAGCTATCAAAAAAAAAACAAAGAACAACACACTGATTCTTCTGAGTTTGTAAACTGATCCACAAATAGATCAAATGTCCTATTGTGTTCTATTAGGTGAAGCGAGTGTATCGCTGCTTTCAGCAAGAGTCCCACTGATCTCTACAAAGGCCTGCAGTCAGCCGGAGGTTTACCATGGTTATATATCACCAGGCATGATCTGCACAGGCTACTTGGACGGGGGAACAGACGCCTGCCAGGTTTATCTCTCACCATTGATTTTTTTATACTTGATATTATAGTGATATTATACCGATTCATAACATTTTCATGCACATCAAATTCCATTTAAGGTTTATATTCTGGACAACGCTTAAGTATTAGAATAAGACAAAATTCTGATTAACTTTGTACTATTATTGTGCAAGTCAACATGAAACACTACAGTTTAAAGGAAGTACAACATCTGAACGACCTAAAAAAATATTTTCATCCATGTTGGTAATAGGGAGACAGCGGTGGTCCACTGGCTTGTGAGGATTCTTTTACCTGGAAATTGGTGGGAGCCACAAGCTGGGGACAAGGCTGTGCAGAAAAGAACAAACCTGGGGTTTACACACGCAGTCCCTCACCTGGATACATCTGCAGATGGAGGTCAGGATAGTGATTATGTGTGTCTGTGAACTAAGTATGAGACAGAAGTTTGTAGTTTGTCAAAAGGTAGCTATATAGTGAGACAGCCTCCTTTTTATGAACATTGTACACTTTTTTTTTGGCTTCAAATTAAAGTTTGCAATGTTGTGATTAATTTCTTAAAACTTAAAAGTAAATGGGAAAATACCAGAACCAGAAAAGGTGGATGGTTACACTCTGTGGGAAAATCATTTGGGAATAGCTGTTTTTGTTGAGAAAGGTCATAACAGATTATCATGTGATTTCACCAGTTATTCTGATGAATACGCCCTCTTGTGGTTTAAGAATTAGACGAAACTACAAGAAGAAAAAACTACAATCATTTTCTTTGCTAATTTTCAAACAGAGAGAAGAAATGCTGCACCCCTCTACAACCAGCTCTACAGTTTAATTATGGGAAAGACAACATCAAGGAACTGAATCCAGGCAGAAACTCCACCAAAAAAAAAAAAAAACCTTGCACTGGTCACTGTATGTCATATACAGGCACGGCGTAAGAAATCATTATATTACGTGCACTCAAATCTGAAAAAGTTTTATTTAGTACTTGCTATTGTTTTAAGAAATACCTGCCAAACAATCCTCTGATTAAATACACAAATATTTCCAGAGACACACAAGCGACAAAGTGCTTATATCTAATATGCAATAAATATGGAGAAAAAAGGACAAAGTCCCCATCCATGCAAAAAAGTATTTTCACTGTTGCAAAACTTTGTAAAGGCTTTATTATGTTATACTATTGTAGTGTTTACAGTCCTTAAATAATTGTTTAGAAAACAGCACACAATTTACAACATTTAATGTAAAATGGTGTGGCAAAATACTCAGACTTGACCTTTAAATGGACATTTTATGCCATAATTCCCATAGCATCTTTCATAACTCTGATTGTTAAGGGAAGCTTTATATGTGTTAGATCAAACTACATTAGCCTATAGAGCAAAAACAAACAGGTCCCTCTGAAACGAAGGAACATCTTCAGCATAAGGATGAAGATTACTGGAAGAGACTTTTATTTAACTCTCATTACTAAACTTTATCAATGTATCAGGCTTTCTGTGCTTATCAGCGGTATAGTTTTACAAAAGAATATGTAAGGCATTTTGTATGTGAGTGTTAAACCCAATTTACATATTTAAAAATGGTTTATAATCCAACATCTATTTTGTTTTTTCTAAAAAACTTTTAAGTCATCCCCTGAAAACAGGGCAGATAGTATAGTTTCTGTACATAAATATTCCCTATAAAACACAAACGGAAAAAAGAAAAGAAAAGAAAAAAACAACACTTTTTACAACGTTCATATAAAAATAATAATCTCTTTTCTCAAACTGTCTTGGAGCCTCTCTACAAGCGTGAGCATACTGAAGAGAACATGAACATGCAGTGTGAATAAAACCAGCACGACGACAAACTCTTAAAATCTTGGCATTCAAATGAGTTCATATAGAAAACAATCATTACAAACATTCACTACAGAAGCTTAAAAACGTTCCTCTGCGTTCTATTGTTGCAACCTTCTTGAAGTGTCTCTATATAAAAGTGCACACACCTGCACGTCTATGCAATAAAAGCAGGTGCTGAAATGCAACTCCTCGCACTGCATCTTTCAGTAACGTTGTGCTCTCTGTAAACTGTTTGTGTGTTACATAAGCCAACATACAGTACTCTTAATTTTTTTTGTAGTGCACAAGTATCAGCTTTGCTGAAAGTCTACGAGGGGACTGGATCTCTTGCCACAAGTGTCATGTGCAAGTTTTCCAATGTAAATGTAAGCATGCAGTGTGTGACCTGCGATCCGTGTCTTAGTCGCTAACATCTAAACCCAGCCCGGTCATGTCAGCAGATGACAAATCTGCGTCGTCTTCATTGCCGCTTTCCTCTGATTCATCCTCGCTGTGATTTCCCATCATGACTTGCTGCATGGCGAGAGTTGCTCCATCTGATGAAAGCGCCTGGAAGCCATCGACGTTCATCCCCACTGTAACCATACTACCTGCAAACAATCACAACACATTCAGTAAAGGAAAATCTGTAATATAAAACCAAGAAAACAGACTTTGTTTTAATATTGGAGCATGAGTGCTGTAAGAACACATTATTTTGAGGCAGTACCGTCTGGCATTGTGAGTTGCTGCTGGGTTCCAGATGAGGCGATGGAGTCAGACCAGAAGCGGTGTAGCGGGCGGCTCTGAGCAAGAGTCTTCTTCTTGGTTTTAGACATCTCTGTGGAGCTGGCATCTAGCATTGGCTGCAAGATCCGTCTTCGAGCATTAATAAACCTTCAGGACAGACCCAAAAGACCATTTTTTGCATCACTCGCTATGCATGGAAGATTAAAAGACATTGTTATATAAAGAATAATATAATCTATATATAGATAAGTGCGTGGGAACTAAATCTGTAATAAATTATAATGAACGGCTTTGCAAGTTATTTTAATTTCACATGCTGTATTTCAATGATTTTAAATGTGTGATGCACACAACAGCTAATAAACATCAACTTGATATCATGTATAAATAAGTGATAGAAATTAATATTCTTTACATTCTAAATTCAGATGTAGTTATTTGGGTTTACTGTTCACACTATAATTATTTGGCTTTGTTAATGTTACTTTTGTGTTTAGGACTTTAATAAGTGACGTCGTAATAAATGCCCAACTCAGAAGTACGTTTCCCAGGTGCACTTCAAGGCAGAATGTCTGAATATTTCAAGGAAATACATAAATGCACCGCATTTGAGAACTTAATTTAAACATTTTAATACATAAGGAGATAAAAACATAAGATTAGGAACTTTAAAACAGGGCTGTCAAAGTGGGCTGCTATTTTGGTAATCATGTAAAAATGAAAGACAAATGTGTTTATACAAATATAATAATGTGGCAATAATGACAGGATTAAGTATGAAAAATAAAGCTTATGATTTTATGATATTATTGAACAATTCTATTACAGTACACAACGTATTTTATTATGTGGTTAATTTCACAATCAATTAATCTCAGAATAATTCATTCCGGAGAGGCTGGAACAACAGTCACTGTCTACTTCGTGTTCTTGCTGGATTGACTTACCAGTTGTTGACTTGGAGTAAAGTCAGGTTTGTTTGAATTGCAAGTTGCTTTTTCTCTTCCTCAGTGGG